CGCCCCCTTTGTCCGGATAAAAGGAACCATCACTGAAGATTGAAAGAGTATCCTGTCGGGAAGATAAAGTGGACAGAAGAGACTTAACAGAATTGACCGCTGTATCCTTGGTTTTGTCCAAGTTGGCATATGAGATGGTCCTGGATGCCGATTGCTTGAAGTCGAAAGATAGGAAAATCCTCTCGGGTCCCATCCGGACGGCTGAATCTATCATGGTGTAAGAGAGACTTGTGCGGGCAGAGTCGGCTAGTCTGCCCGCCGAGTCTGCTCTGCTGGACAGGATGAATCTTCTAATCACGTCGTTGGGCTTGATCGTCATAATTTTCCGGAAAAAGAAAGAGAAAGCTGTCCGCAAGATGTTGTGGGAAATTGGTTGAATTGTTGAGCGAAGGGCAATGAAACGGTTCGATGTGGATTTGAAGACCCCCAGCGAGAAAATGCCTGCTATCCTGTCAGCCTTGTTGGCAAGGGATAAGACTCGTCCTTTATTGGCTGCTGTAGCCCATACAGCTGCCCCATAAGTTAGTCGGGGAATGAGAACACTTCTGATCAAACTGGCACGGGCTGCTTCCCTGGTGCCCCGTCTGGAGTTCCCGAAAATTTTTAATTGGTTTGCTGTCTTCTCCGCTTTGGTCTCCAAAGCCCTGAAATTGCGAGCAAAGGAAAGTTTGGGGTCTAGGAAGATCCCTAGCCACTTAACTTCCAAAACTGCCTTCAAAGTTTGAGATCCGAAGATGAATGGCTCCTCGGAGGTTTTTCCCTTGGAGAACCACATGAACTGAGCCTTTGCTTGATCAAAAATGGCTCCGTGGGTCTTGCCCCACCGTAAGGAACGTTCACCTTCGTTGTTCAGCATTGCTTTGGTTTGTCCGACCGACTCAGCCGCAACTAGATGAACTACATCATCTACATAGCCGATGGAGACCCTGTCCGAAGCAGGAGAGAAGTCCTTTATCAGTAAGGAGTTGTTATAGAGGATGTATAAGATAACGGAGAGGGGAGATCCTTGTGGGAGACCGATGTCAAGGCTATGTTCTTGGGATACAAAATCGTCCAAACGAATAGTGGTGGATCTGTCCCTTAAAAAATTATCTATAATCAGTATGAGATAAGTAGGGCATTTTTGTTGCGCCAAATAATGAGTCAACCGCCTAGGGTGGACTGAGGGGTATGCGGACTTGACATCCAGAAATAACCCGGCCACGGTCTTTCCTTCTCGCCACTTAGCCTTTACCCAGTGCTCAAGAGCGAACATAGCATCTTCGGTGCCAGAGCCTTTGCGACCCCCGAAATGTCCGTCGGCAAGAATTTTACCTTCTTCAGCCCAAGCTGTCAGCCTACGCGCTATGACGAGCTCAAACAATTTTCCCATTGTGCTCAACAGAGCAATTGGGCGGTACGCTGTTGGAGACGTGTAATCGGGCTTTCCGTGTTTGCGGATGATTGCTGTGACGGCACATTTCCAAGGCCGGGGGAACCTGCTACAAGTTAGCATTTCGTTAAACAAGCCTGCCAGAACAGGCGCTAATGTGGGAGAGAGCAACCGCAGCATCTCGTTGGCAATCCCATCGATCCCCGCTGCCTTCTTCGGACAAATCTTGTCGATGGCGGATTCAACTTCCGCGGTGGAGACCTCTGGATAACAGGCAAATCTACAATTGGCGATGGGAGAAACATCAGAGAGATCTATTGGAACATCAGTGACCGATGTGCCATCAAAAAGCAACTTAGCCTGAGATTCTTTGTCCAGCATGATTTTTCCCCCTTTGTCCCTCAAAGGTAAGATGCCACCGCCCGACGTGCGTTTCGAGAAGCGTAAAACCTTGAAAATATCCGCCTCCTTGGGGTCTTCCAGGAGGCGTTCCCAGTTGCGGCGTTTCAAGGAGTCTACCAACGATAAAAAATAAGTATTCCATTGTCGATAGCATTCAATGGCTTCAGGAGACTTAGCCAGAATCATCCATCGGCGGGCTTTATTCCTTGTCTTGAGGACCGGGTCAAGCGTGGCCTTACACCACCACGCTTTGGTTTTGGATTCATCCGTCCGAACCCTCCGTCCTAAAGACTCCTGTAGAGATTTGACCGAAGAAGTGAGCAGAGAGACTTTTTCATTGATATCAGCCGTAGAGTTGGACAGATCCAGAATCGACTTAGCTAGTTTGGGAGAGATGTCTTCCCGAGAGATCTTGTTCCACTGTGGGAGTGACCATCGCAAAGTTGGTTCCGGCTTATTTACTGAGAGTCGAGCGATCAAACCCTGGTGGTCGGAACCGAAGTTGTCGTTGGTGACAGCGACTGTCTCCAGAACTCGGGAACCTAAGAAGTTTGCCCACATTAAGTCAATTGTTGATCCTCGACCCTTATTAGAGTAAAAGGTGGGAATGTGTTTGGGTGATGAAAGCCGGAAACCATGATGAGAAAGGGAACTTAGCAGGTCAATTGCCTCTGGGTCCTTTTTTCGGCAGCCCGGCGGATTCCAGTGTTGATGGTGCAGATTTGAGTCCATACACAGGATTGTCGCAACCTGCCTTGAATAGTGAGAAGTTAGCCAAGACTTGAGCTCCACAACAACTGGGAAGGAAGGAGGGGGGTTATAGAGATTAATGATACGTAGGGGTTTCCCGGAGGGAAGTCGGATTTCGACCCCTACAATCAGTTTTGATCCACCGTCCAATAAGGTGATGTTGACCGAGGGAATGGTTGTCCGAACGTAGATAACCGTCTTGTGGCGTTGGTGCCAAGACTCTGGAGAATGCTCGAAAGCAACGAAGGAGCGCCAGGAAGAGTGTTGAGGCGGTGAGAAATCAAAGGGATTGACCCAAGGTTCCTGAAGAGCGAGAACATCATAATTACAGGCCGAATTCAGTACACTTAGGGTTGCTGCTTTTGAGACATGACAGTTAAGTTGAAAGATGGAAAGTTTTTTAGAGTTAAAGGTGTTTGGGGCTGAGGAAGCCATCCAATCCAAACGGGTTGATGTGTTGAAATCTTCGAATTGCGTAGAGGTTCCGACAGGGGTTACATACGGTGCACCTATCATTGAGACGGTAAGGGGCGCTTCTCAAGCCACGCCTTTTTATAAGGGCATAGCTTATCAAAAGGTGTGTGGTTAACATCGGAGATTCCTTCAATTTTATTTTTCAAACCGTCTTTACAGAGAACACAAGATTTAACATTACCGATGCCTTCGGGGCATTCGTTTGTGGAGTGTTTGCCAGCACATTTGGCGCATCGAGCAGTTTCCCGACACCACTTCCCAAAGTGACCCATTCGCAGGCATTTGAAGCATTGAGGGGGTCGGGGTTTAAACCGGTCAGTCCTGTGAAAATCATAATTTAAGAAGATTCCGGATTTTTCAATGCGCAAAGCCAGGTCACGATTCGTGAAGGATAACACTATTGAACCGGCCTTTTTGATTGATCCTTCGTTCGAACCCATCCACCTTACTCGAGCCAAATCTGATGCCTGAAAATTATTTTCGGAAGCCAACAAAGCAATATTTGACGACTTTCCAATATCAAAGGATCTCGGGACACCGTGCGCCATCACAGAGAAGGTGCTGGGGGTGGATTCCAAGTCGGTATGAACTTCTTTAGACCAAATGTGCTTATGTTCCATCAGCCACTTTTGTTGACTACGATTTTTGATATAGAAAGAAACATCACCCGAAGGAAGCATGCTAGCACCTCTGATGGCCACGATTTCGCCATCAACGGTTGCATTCATCTTCGCCAGGGCGTCATTCGCCTTCTGAACCAGGGCACATTTAGGAACGTCTTTCAGGGTGTTGTTGAGAGGGTTGGAATGTATAATGACGCGTTTTGGTTTCAAAGACGCGAGCATCTGATTGGGAGGAGGGCGAATTGAGGGAGGTTTCAGCGGGGTCGCGGTTGAGATAGCCGCAATGGACGCGAAGGATTTCTTCTGGGCCTGCTGAGAATCTGGTCCATTCTTCATTCGTTTTTCAAGATCGGCGAGACGCGACATAACGGGATCAAACTTCGCGTCGATCTTGTCATTAAGTTGTTTGATTGTCCTGTTAAGTTGGACGATGGTTTCCTCCATCCGTCGCGTGGTCTTCTCATTCTCGGCTGAGAGGGTGAGGATCACCTCCACGAAAGTTGGGTCGACCAATATTGCCCCGGACTCGTTCCGAGCGGTAGAGTCGGCTAGGACCTTGTTGAGGAGGGTGTGTAGGCTGGAGGGGGGGTTGACCGCCGGTCTGGAGTTGCAGGCGTGATCGCCATTGGAGATGATGACATCCTCGTCCATGTTCGACGCGTCTAGGCGAGGGATTGGGTCAGGGGGGCGTGAGGGGGGGAGCATTAACTGCTCAGCAAGAAGGGGGGAAGGGGGGAAGAAGAAGGGGAAGAGAAGTTTTCTGTGAGTGAGGGGGAGAGGTGGGTGATTTGGTGTATAATCGGCGCGTGTGAGGGTGGTGACTTTTTGGTTGCGGACAGAAAACTGATTGCAGCTACTGAGTTGTGGTTATAGATTTGGGTTCTACCACTTGTGTAGAGCCCAAAAACACACAGTACATGTATGTAGGCTCACTTGGGCGGACAAACATACCGGTCAAAGTTCAAAAATAATTTTGCAGGCGCGGGGTTACACAGAAGAGCCCCGGGGCACTGTAGTTGATCCGCAACGGCTCCGAACACCGAGATAGTCATGATATGAGCGCCACAAGCGCCACCATGCCTCTGGGGTCACTGCCGCCACTTCAGCGGCTTTACACTGCGCCGGAGTAGACCATCTGCCGCTCCGGCCGGCCAGGACCGGCCCCTACGGAATGTCATGCTTGATCATATGTCTTCCATCAGCTCTCTCATGGTGTGTTGTGCGAATCATCATTGATCTCAGTGTCTGACCCTCATTGGTGATCTTTGGCTGAAAGGCTTGGAAAGATCCATGAAGCTGCGGCCCGCCACTGGATTATTATGTATTGCTTCAACAGCGCGTGAGAGGGTTTATGTAGTAACGGGTGAATGGCAGCCAGGCGAATACAATGGCAGGCTGTACAGGGCTGTACTGGCCTTAAAGACCCTTCAGTGGCACAAGTGGGCCGTCCCTCCATCCGCTTTGTTATTTACCAACCTCACGTTCCTCTCCCCCAGCACGCATTTGTCAAATTCATATCCTATTCTTCATTCTACACAAGATGCTTACAATCTTTCAGGGGAGTTCCCTGGCCATCCTCTTGGCAGTCGCCATCAATCACCTAGGTGAAGTTTCTGCCGAAGTGCCAACACCATCCCCAACAAAACCCGGTCCGACAAGCCCGGCTTCTCCCAACCAGGTTTCGGGGACTTATTTTGGCTGGTCTTCTTGGAGCTTACAAGCTTACAAAGGAAAGGTGCGCCCTGTTTCATTATCCTTCGCCCCATTGGATACCATTATTTTGGTGCTTTAGAAGCTCATAATGTTTTCTTTATCCGTGTTAACTTGTCTTGGAAAAGGGCTATGGATCCGACTGGCTGACAGAAAACAACATCAAAGCCCAGGCCGATGTCTTATCCAAAGAGTTTTCTCAGTTAGGGTGAATTGCATATTTCTCTCGGCTTTGCGGTTTCATTTTTGAGAACAACCAAGTTGGTTGAACAAGAATTAACGCGTTTCGCTGTGTGGGAACATTTTTAGGTATACTCGCATCAACTTGGACTCCGGCTGGCAAGTTGAGTATAATGATACAAATCCCCGGGTTCTCCACACCTTCCCTTTCTTTTTCCCTTTTTCCTTAAAATAAAAGAGGTGAAAATTACGCCAGCATGATGTGGATTCTGTGTATGCCAGAGGCACCATTGGCAAGATTCCTAGACGCCGAACAAACAAACACCGCATTGACCCGTTGCTTTTCATGATGGCCATTACTTCGCACCATCCCTCATTAATCTTGACACTGAAACAAAAACTTGACTACTTCTAGGATGCCGAATTGGACAAATATGGCCGAACCATACTGAACCGCAAAACTTTCCCAAGCGGAATCGACAATCTATCGAGCTACCTAGCCCAGAAGAAGCTCAAATTGGGCCTTTTTTACCTTCCCGGGATCGATTCCAGAGCGGTTAACAGTAAAGTAAAAAAAGAATCTTCTTCTCTCATGAAAAATTGCAAAATGCTCAAGTCTTTAAAAAGACGCGAAATCAGGTTAGCAATTTGCTGAGCAGCATTTTTTTCTTTCTTGTTTTGACAATTAGTCCGTAGTGATGGACACGAAATACACCGCGGATCAAATCATACAATGTCCCGACAAAGACGCATTAGGATGCAATCGAAACACCGTGAATGCATTCAACGCTGGTATGGCATTAAACTACAGCCATCCAGGTGCTCAGATGTATATCAACAGCGTGGTCGATGGCCTCTACAGCTGGGGCGTCAGCTATGTGAAACTGGCCGGGATCGTACCCGGCTCTATGGTCGACCCGCCCGAATACTGGAAATACAACACCACAGCCGATCTGATGGCCTGGAGAAAGGCGATCAATGAGTTGTATGAACAGAAGTGGCAGAAGCAAGGTCGGGAACGAATTTGGTTGGGCGCGAGTTGGAAAATCCCAACGAGTGCCGGTGCGACCATGGACAAATACGTGGACAGCTTCAGAGTTGAACAAGATATCGAGGCCTACAGCGAGACACAGATGACTACATTCGATCGGGTGATCAGGAATGCTAAGACCGCCGCACTCTGGTCCTCTGTTGATCCGAATCGTAAGTGGAAAGGAGTCAGGGACCTCGATTCGATCTTGATAAGTGACATGACGTTGGCGGAGTGCAAGACAATGGTCACCATCTGGGCGATGTTTGTACGTCCAAACCGTTTCTTTTTGAGTATTGCCGACATCGTCTTCGCTTGAATGCTTTCTAAGTATCGACTCCTAATCTTGACTTGTTGATAATCACCCAGGGCTCGGTACTTTACTTGGGAGATGATCTAACCAAATTGCCAGAAGTTAGAAAGGCCTTAGTCAAGAACCCCGAGGTGCTCAAGCTAGCGATTTTAGCATCCACGAACGAAGCCAGATTGGATGGCTTCAATCCCAGTCCCTCCAGCGCCGGATCAAGCAGCTTGAAATCCTCGACCATGAGCTTGAAATCTTTTGAAGGACTCGAATCCAAAGCTATTGAAGAAGTCCAGTCGGTTTCCAGCCGGGATTGTGACGAGATGGCCGAGAAACGTCGATTGGTGGTCGAGAAAGGCTTGTTCCAGAAGGTCGATGACTCCGACCAACTCCATGAGACTTGCATGAAAAAAAGCAAGAGTGCCAAATCGAGGCTTCAAGCTCGGGCGTTCCCCTCTGGCGCCGAGGATGCCCAAGCCGACCAATGGAGTCTCCAATATTGGGTCTTGGAACAAGGTCAAGGCGATATCTACGTGGCCGTAGTTAACGCCGGTCAACAAACCCCTGATGACAGTAAGCTCAAGCAACTCATACCTCTCGATCTTGATTTTTTTTTTTACACGACTAATCCATTCTATGAAATATTATTCAAATGATATAGAACCGGTGAAGGTAGAGATCAGTTTGAGCAAGCTTCAAACCCTTCAAAAGAGTCCCAGAAACAAGCAAATGACTGGAATGAAGTACACCGTCCGAGACTTGTGGAATAGCAAAGACCTGAGCAGTGTTGCATTCGAAGGCAAGATCGAGTCTACTCTAGAGCTTCATGGCACGGTTCTGTTAAAATTCAGTCCAGTCAGCCATCCCAATTAGAACCAATATAAAGTCTTGAGTCGTAGCAAGACATATCATGCTCTAAAACAATTTTACACCGGACTCTTTGGTTCTTTATACCTACTTTCAATCTTTAAAATATATAGCAGCATCGAATTCTCAACGCTCTTGTCTCTCTATTTCTCTCAGTCATTATGTCTCCTTGTTGCACATACTTCCTCACTCTTCAGTTATTTGTTCTAGTACGATTGCATGTCAGGTGCCACGAAAGTCACACACCCATACCACAATTCTCCATACTCAATCTCAATTCATCAGAGACGCTGAAACATATGAAGCATGTCTTGAATTGATCAGGAGAAGCTGTGCTGATTTGGCTGCAATTCCACCATCATGTTTCAAGCATTACAGACATTAGAGTGCTATGTGAACAGATCTTAAACCTGCCTCCTCGCCACAACTTTCAAGGGTGGGTTCCCAGAGATGGCCTGTTGGGCTCTGTCCCTATGCCAAACGCATCACACTGAAAACCTCATGAAGAATGTGAGAATACGTCGGAATTGTGCACATGTG